GTGTGGGGCTTCTGAGAACCATCGTGACTGGCTGAGGAAGCCACCAGAACTCCTGATCCCAATGGGGAGGGGAGGTCAAAGGGCTTAGGTGTCACCATTTCCACTTTGCAGATGGGCAAACTGAGACGAGCAGGCTTAAAGGACTTGAATGTACAATCCTAGACAAAGCGTGTGGCAGAAACAGGTTCAGAGCCTGCTCCCAGCTCTGACACTTACTCTAGGCACCAGACTTTCTCCAGGTCTCAGCGTGACAATCAAGCCCTCAGCACTAACAACAGGGACAGTGTGATCCAAGCAGCAGACTCTTGGCCAGCAAGTCAGGAGATCTGAGAGCAGGTCCTGGCTGGTCATGGGCTGCTAAGGATTTTAACCTCCTTTCCCTACCTGGAGACTTCGGAATCACACCTGTGTAGCTGGTGCAGGCAGCAGTGCTGGCCAGGAAGGGGAAGGCGGTGTGAGGATCATGGTACCGGCTGACTTCTCCTCGGTCGGCTCTGTAACACAACCGCGGCACAGAGACGCGCAGAGATTCATGCGTTGCTGTGACCGCACCAGGACGAAGTCTCCTCTGACCTACTCTCCCTTATAAACTGAAGATTAACCTCTCCCAACCCTCCACCTTCTATCTTTCTGGATTTCTTGAAGCATTTCAATGATTTTCATGATATATTGTTCAGTACAGGGGTCTCAAACTACAGCCTGTGGCTCAAATCTGGCCCACTGGCTATTTCTTTATATTCTGTGAGCTAAGAATGGTTTTTACATTTTTAAAGTGCTGAAAAAAAAATCAAAATCAAAATAATATTTCATGAAAAATTATATGAAATCGAGCTTTCTGTGTCCATAAATAAATTTTTTGGAACACAGCCACGCCCACTCATTCACGTTGTGCACATTGTTGTGTGGTTACAATGTAGCTGTTTTTAAATAGTAGAATTGAGTAGTAGTGAAATAGACTACATGACCCACAAAGCTGAAAATTTATACTATCTGGCCCTTCACAGTTTTTTTAACCAACTCCTGGTTTAGTGTAAAAGGCAGGCTACAGAATTACCCTATTTGCATAATCACCATATATACTTAAATTGAGGAAGAAAATACACCCAAAGAGGGGTTATCTGTGGGTGCTAAGTTTACACGCAATTATTTGAATTTTTTCACCGAACACTTTAAAAATAAAAGTATAAAAAAATTTAGTGACATTAGGAAAATAAAATAGTAAATAACTTATCCTCTTTCACCGTGGCTGGGCATTGTTAGTTGTTGACATGCTTCTTTCCACCCCTATGCATAGGTATCTCTGTTCTACAGAAGAGGGAAGGAAGACTCAGGGAGTTTAAGTAACTTGCCCAAGGTCACACTGCTAGTTAGAAGCACTTTGTATATTTATGAGGAAAACACACTTAAAGAAACAAAAGGGAACAGGCTGAAAGCAGAAATTGGTTTAGAAGAGTGTTTCATTTGAATTCATAGGAGACCAATCCTAACAGATAATGAGGAACTTAGAGATGCTTAGGGAATCCTCAAGTCTAGTCTACCTCAAGAATGAGATATAATATATTTGGAAGTATCTGAAAAATGGCAGAGCACTGTACAAATGAAGGCTGTGTGTTCAGAAACTTGTTAAGGCACAATCTGCAAACTTCCCAAGATTTCCCAGCAAATCTTTCTTGAATTGGAAACAACATAAATGTCAAGAAGAGAGGACTGGTTGACTAAGTTATGGTGCTTCCACACAATGGAATACTATGCAATGATTAAAGAACCAGACAATAATGAGATTGTTGCTGCCAATGTTGGCATTGTGATTTAGAGACTGCTCTGTGGTAATGCAGGATAAAGCCAATGAGTAATTACATGAAGTACTAATGTTATCATCCATGGCATCCTTGAGAACCAGGATTCTTAGCATAGAGAAAGGAGGCACAGAAATAAGAAAGAAGAGGTTAAATAAAATCCCCTGTAGTCTTCAATTTGAATAGAAAGTATCAGTATGAACTCATGATGTATCTTTATCACAAAAAATAACCTAGGAAATAGCCTAGCTCTGTCCACCAAAAAGGCTTAGAAACGATGACCAATCCAGGAACAATGAGCACCCCTAAATGTCCAAATTATGGTGTCTAAAAACCATTTCCCACTAAGAGGAACCAGGGATCCTTGGAGAAATGGCTGACTCCAGACCTGGGGCAGGGCCTGGAACATCTTAGCTTCCTTGCTATTTGAATAATATCAAAGACTACTAGGGTCATATCAGAAGGAGCCAACTGGCCAGAGATGGCACAATCCAAGCATCAATAAAAACAACAAACAAAATGGCTTAAAACACATCAAATATGTTTAAACTCATGAGTTTTCAAAGATACAAAAAACACAGCAAAAAAATCCTAATTGGTCATCATTGGAAGATGACAGTAAACCACTCATTATTTTGAAAACTGGCAAATAAAGAGAAGGAATCAAACATTTATCCAACCTGTCCTATAAGAACTATATTACTAGATAATCAAATAGATGTATTCGATTATTTGTGTTTCAGCTAATAAATGAAGAAAGAATGACAGGATTAGAACATCATCATTTTATATCCCCTAACTAACTAATGGATATTAGCAGTGAACATCAAAGGATGCTAAAACCACAAAAAGAGAGACAACTAGACGTTATGTGCTTTCTGACAAGTAAGCACAACACAATCTATGAAGTAGTTTCGCCCAGAAAAGTCAAATGTAAATCTGATTAAATATCTAAATCAAACTACCAATGTATAGGAATCCAGATGGTAGAAGAACAGGTTAAATAGCACCACAGAGCTGCAACCAGAAAAATCCAGAGTTTGGGGATCTCTACAGGACAAAGAATCCAATTGCTTCATCAAATAAATTGCAAGGGGGCAGGGAGGGGAGCAGGGGGACATAAACAGAACCTGTAGATTAAAAGGCACTTAAAAGACAGGTCAATCTACTGCAATATGTGGGCCTTATTGGATTTTCATTTTAAATAAAGGTTAAAAAAGGCAGTGATGGAACTACTATAAATTTGAACACTAGCCTGACATTTGGTGATATTAAGAGATTACTGCTAATTTTTTAAGGTGTGATAATGGTATTATGGTAATGTTGCATACCTAAGTATTTACAGATGAAATAATGTCTTGGATTTGCTTTAAAATAACCCAGCGGTAGGTGCAAAAGGAGGTGGGGACACAGATAATGTGAGATCAGTCTTGTACTGATGATTGCTGGGGCAGATGAGGGTCTGTTAAAGGTTTGTTGTTCTGCTCCTTTCACTTTCCCACATGTTTACAAGTTTCCATAATAGAGCATTAAAATAAATCCTTCCTGATGTCATGCTCGGAGTGATAATACGGGGTGGGAGCATCATGGTTCTGATCAGTATCCCTTTTCTTATGTTTCACAAATACGTGGATGGAGAGTTGAGCTGTGTGCTCCAGATCACTCCTCTAGGGAGTTTCTCCATCACCCGTGGAGCTTCTCCATCACTCTCCTCACCAGGATATGTCAATATGTGCTTGGGAGCATATAGACACACACATACAAAAATCTATCAGAAAAAAAAGATTTCCTATGTCTTAAATATTTTGCTTTGAAGCTGCAAAGTCTGTGTGGGACTCACTATTTCATAAAGCAAAGACACTGAACTCTATAGAACCAAATCTGCCTGGCATAGGCATTCAGTGGAGCTCACGACCAGGGGGAAAGAAAAGATAGTTATATTGTTGAGGTTGGTAAGTGTTTCCATCCTGAAGTTCTGAGCAAACGACAAGGCAAATCCGGATGAGGAGGGACAGTGGTTATGCTCTCATGCCATTTTTTACATCAGTGCCTCTGAGAGTCCTAAATTAGATAAAAATGTCCATGGGAGGGGCCGGCCTGGTGGTGTAGCAGTTAAGTTCACGCGTTCTGCTTCAGTGGCCAGGGGTTCGATGGTTCGGATCCTGGGCCCGGACCTACTCACCACTCATCAAGCCATGCTGAGGCGGTGTCCCACATAGAAGAACTAGAAGGACCTACAACTAGGATATACAACTACGTACTGGGGCTTTGGGGAGAAAAGAAGAAAAAAGGAATATTGGCAATTAGCTCAGGGCCAGTCTTCCTCAAAAAAAAGATAAAAGTCTGTGGGAGGGCACACCATGCAAATTCTCTCCTGGGGACCCCGCAGGTGAGAGAAATGAAGAGGGTCGAGGAGACAAGAGCAAAACCTTCAGCCCTGTCACTGGGTGCAGGATGCGGGAGGAAATGAAAGTTAGGGCCAGGAAGGAAGAAATTGATCTGATGCTTATGTTTAGAAATGGCCCCTCCCAGCCCTCATGCTGTTGGGGGTGGTTACTGTGGCTTCTGTTTCTTTCACCGACCTCACCAGCATCTGTGCCCTGCAGGGTTAGAAGTCTCTCATCCGGGCTCCTGAAACCCCAGAGCTCACCCCTTGAGGCGCTTCTCCTGTTGGTGAATTGCATGTTTCCTTGTCTTTCTCCTCTACTAGCCTATAACCTCCTCGAGAGCAGGGGCTTCTGTCTGCTCTTTGTGGCATCTCATCAAATAGTACAGGCCTGGAATACGAGATGCTCCACACTGTCACCGTGTAGCTGGAAATCACCATGGAAGCAGTGTAGGGTAGTGGTTATGACTGCGGGCTTAACCAGGGCCCTGCCAACTCACTAGACCCACTTTGCTGACATTGTATTGTGGTTTCCAGATTCCACTACTGACTTATTCCAGGACTTCAGATTTTGTAAAACACTTTTGAGATGTTCCCTGAAAAGATAACACATATAACTATAAATTTCTGTTTCTATGTAATGAAGTTAACTAATCTAGGAAAACAACCCTCCTAGAATTTCATTGTGCATCTACCTGGAATGGTTTCCACTGATGGCCTTATAAATAATAAAACATGAAATTCTAACCACACACAATGCCTTGGACTCGTGTTAAAGGGAGTGGACAAATGAACACCTTGTGAGTAGATGAGCAAACCTGAGCATCTTCGAATGTGTATCTCCCTCCATCTTTGACATTTTGACTGGTTATCTCATAGCTGTGAGAATCCAGGTTGATTGCACTTGGGGCTCCTGGAGCCAGAAACTCTTGCCAGATTTCTTCCACCCTCTTGGCCACATCCTGTAGGGGTTGCTTCTTGAGATCTTGGACAGCCAACCAGAACCTGAAGTGGAAGCATAAAGACAGTCAGTTCCAGAGGGCCCAGTCAGTGTCTGGATTCTGCTGGACATGGTTCCAGAACTGATGTCCCATGGAACTTGTTCTGCTGCATCCCCCAGCCTTCCTGCTGCCACTTCACAGGTCACAAAGACCATATGGACTGCTGAAAATACAAAAGGTGCTCCACTATTGTGGAGAACTGTAAAGAAGTGTACATTGGACGATCATTGTGCTCTGGGTACCAAAAAAGAAATTTCTCTCCCTCTACGTCAAGGTTTTTCAACCTCGGGACTATCCATTTGGGGCTGGATAATTCTCCGTTGTGGGGGCTACCCTGTGCATTGAAGGATGCTTAGCAGCAACCTTGGTTTCTACCCACCAGATGCCAGTGGCACTCTCTCCTCAATGTGTGACAACCAAAAATGTTTCTGGTCATTCCCAAATGTCCCTGGGAGGTAACATCACCCCCGGATGAGAACCACTGCTCTATGTAGATGCCACGACACAGACAATGCGAGTCCCTTTGTTGTATCTGGTTGGGATCAGTTGGAGGCATCAAAATGAAGGAAAGATCAGAGAAGCTGATAGAATCTTGGAATTGTAATGAATACCTGGGCTGGAAGGACCCAGCTACTCATGTTATAGATGGAGAAACTGAGCTGATTTACAACATCGGTGTCCAGCATTGTAACTGGCATATAGTAGGCACTAGACAAATGTCTGTTGGATTGAAGATGGGCTCATCTGGAACAAAGCTGAAAGGACACACATAGGAAACCTCTTTGCCAGAAGATTCTCCAGGGAGTGCTGGAGAGAAAAACCTCCCGCTCACTTCCATACTTGCGTCTCATGAATCCCTTAGCATTGGCACAGCAGGGGCCGTTGAGAGCTGGGCGTGAGCTCTTTTCTGCTGAGAGCAGCAGCAACCAGAGACAAAGCTGGGTCAACAGCTCCCCAGGTCATGAGGATGGTTCCCAGAGCAGCCCTGAGGAGGGCTTTCAGCAGGACCCAGGTCTGGATGGCACACTTTGTGCCCTGTGAACAAGACAGGCCAGTTTCTCCACCAATAAGACACGAGGACAGGCTCCTGGCTATACGGTTCCCACAGCCATGGGAATCACACATACTTAAGTCAACAAAAGGCCAAAGACCAGAGAAGTTGAACCACGACATGGTGGAAAGTGCATTCAATCTGTCACCGAATTTCACCCAAAATAAGATGTACTTTTTTTTTTTTTTAAGGTTAAGCATGTTTTTCTGTTGCTGTTCAGAGAAGTCTTTGGAGCCAAGTGCATGGCCCAAAGGCACCACTCAGTGGCCAACTGAGGTATTGCAGCTCCTTTTCCACAAGGAGGGAAGACTGGGGCGAGTGCGCCAGTGTGCGTGTGTGTGTGTGCGTGCATGCGCGCAGTGGGCTCCAACTTGTCCCAGATTTCCCATTTGGCATTCTAATGATGTCCTTAAGGAAAATTCTCACGGTTCTCCAATTGGTCCTGAAGAGTGGGAGGTGGGGAAGGAGACTAGATGACTTCACCAATTCAAAGATCAGGAAGCAGTCTGTTCTCATCCCAGCTATGCTTCTGTGTCAGAATTGTTGTACCTTTCTGGGCATCTCTCTCCTCATCTGTAAAATGGGTACAAGGTGGGTAGGGGGATATGTGACATGGGTCTAAGAACTTCCCATCCAGGTGTAACTGAAATGCTTTCATGTCCCATGGGTGGGAGCTGTGGAGGGGTCAGCGTGTGGTCACAGGTTCAATACCTGTCTGGTGTGACCCCTCGACTTTCATCTCCTTCTCCTCGGGGCGTCTGGGCGGAAGCTGCCTGGGGCTCCTGCCACTGCCATCTGACGTCACCGGCCCTTCATCACCAGCCCTCCTGCTTTCTGCCGCAGGTCTTTGGTGCTCATGTCCTCTGACTACCCGGCCAGGGGACAACAGAAATGGTTCTTTAACCAGAGTAGGGGGGTGGGGTTTAAAAGGAGCTGTTAACCTGCTCAGTTGTTCAGGGGTCCCTTGAAACTCAGCTGGGGAGTGGGTCTCCTCCGTCCCCCAGGCCCATTCCCTAGGTTCCTTAGGTCTCTCTGTCCCACCCTTGAGGTCTCCATGAAATAAAGAAGGTGGCCGAACGCATAAGGATGACAATGGTCATCTGGTGATGACAGTACCTATAAGGCTTTCTTCGCCTGGAAGACAGTGTTTGACAGGCAGGTGAAATTTAGAAAACTCAGCTCTAAAGAAAGAAGCTGGTGTTGGTTTTTCAAAGGACTAGAAGGAGTGCTAATGGGTAACTCACCAAAGACTAACTCTGTGAGGCCTCTGAGCCATGTGCTGGGGCAGATGGGAGAACAGCCCCCTCGCAGGAAGTTGCCTCTGGGCTGAGCCCCTGGGCTGGAAGCATCTTCTCTGGGCCAGAGACTTTCCCAATCCTACTGGACCCTGCAATTGCTCACACAAATGGATGACACCCGGGCAATTTTCTGCTCCCTCAATCAATGTCATGTGGGGTGTCCACTTCTGTCATCCTCTGTCCCTTGTCCCAGGCTGCTCTGAGGAGGAGCCATTGAGCCCCTCTGGGAAGGCCCCTGAGGCCCCAGCAGCTTCTGAGCTCTGCAGGCTCCCTGTGGTTCCTGAGACCTCGGGGTCGCTTTTGCAGAATGATTTGGGCGCTACATTAATGCACATCACTCAGCTGGGTATAGGGAATGTCTGGAGCTGACAGACATGGAAACTTCAGAATCAAATTTAGTAAACTTTTATATAAAAAATTAAAAGCTTCCCTTTGTCAGATAAAAATAAGAATAAAAAAAGCACAAGAAGAAACAATGGGCATGCTGGAGGCGGAGGAGGGGGAGGAGGGGGAGGAGGGATGACATGCTCCAGATAGTAGTTTTCTCTCCCTGCAAGCATGAGGACCTTCTTGGCCTTCTGTCCACCTTGGAGATGACCTGCTTTATCCCTCTCAGGTGACAGCAAAAATGCTGCACAACAGCATCCTGACATCCCATATGTGTTCACCATCACCGGCTTCGAAGAACCTTTGCGTCAATTTGAAATTCAGAACAGGCTTTGGTCTGTGTTTGCCGTCTGCGAGCCCACAGGCCTGAGCTGGGAGCTCTGAGTCCCGGCCGTCTGGCCACACTCTCCCCGAGAGAGCCACAAAAGCTCCCTCTGCACATATACAGCTGACGGGAGGCCCCCGGAGGCCTGCACAGCTTCTGCTCTTATCAAAAGCCTGCAGGTACTGCTCCTCCACGAGGACCCCAGCACGGAGGAAGACGCCAGCCGAGGCGTCTCTCCACCCATCCTGCACTAAGCCCCTGTGGCTTGCAGCAGCAAGGCTGTCATGACTGGCAGGCCACAAAGATGCACTGGTATCAGGGAGGCCACCTGTTCTGCCTCTCCCGAGTCATCAGAGGAGGAGGCAGCCCGTGTGCCGGCACGTGATGTGTGTCAACGGCTCAGGAATGCAGGTCGGAAGCTGGCCTTCGTGGGGAGGCGGGCGGGGCTCAGACACCACCAGCCTAGCAGCAGTAGACGGGACTGTGGGCAGTCCGGGGCTGTCCCAGGGGTCCTCTCTCCCTCAGGACCAGGATGCGGACTGTGAATGGGCTTTTCTCCTTAAAGCTGGCTAGAACAAGGGAAACCACGCAGCCATTGGTCATTCTCCATCCTGCCAGGAGGTCTGGGCAGCCCCTCAGTTCCCAGCTTACATATCTTTTCATAAACGACGATTTTCATGGGTTAGAAAAATCCAGCTTGTAGTTCACTTCCAGAGAAAAGCAAACTCCAAGCAGAAGGAAGGGTTTCTGTGCCCTCTGCTGGTCAACAGAGACTTAGGAACACGGGATTCAACGTGACTTTGTCTCTGGCTGGGCTGAAATCCTCCGGTGCCTACATTAGCAACTACTACCAGCACCGCAGCTGAGCTATGTTCACTGGGCAGTGGCTGAAATGCTGCGGATCGTCACGGCATTTGTGAGCCACCTCTGTTGAGATGAATCATGTGTTTGATTAGTGGTGAATCCCACCAGGCCTGGGGAACCTTCGAGGTCTTCCTAGGACTTGGGGCAACTGTCGGAGAGGGGAGCTCTCCAGGCAACCCTGGCAACTCCCAGGTGCTCTCTTTAATTGTTGCTCCCTTCAGCTGACACTGTGTGGAACTAGGATAATCAATCTGCAGGTTAGAAGAACAACCATGTTCTCTCAGGAGACGTTACAGCTCATAAAAAATGTACGGGGGACGCTCTTTGCTGAGGGTTTTCATTTTTAACTCATGCCCTGCCGTGCGGCAACAGTGTCAAGCCAGGGAGGATAAAGATTTGTGCAGGGGAGATGGAGAGGAGGCACAGGTGGCAAGGGGCTCCTGTCACCATTCTGGGAAGACACACAGAGAAGGGAGGATGATGAGACCAGAGAACTCACTGGAACTCCCTGCTTTGGAACTGGGAGGTCCCTACCCTGTGCACGAGAGGCCACATGCATTCCAAAGGCCCCGAGCCAACTCCTGTCTCGGGGGCCCACCCAGTCCCAATGGAGCCCTGGGCTCAGCTCAGGGTGCCACAGAGAGCATATAGTCACACGCTGTGCTGTCTGCAGCAAAATGCGCTGGCCATGCCCCCTCTAGGCCCTGGAGGTGATGACCCTCCCACATCTCACAGGCTCACCTAAAAGAAAAATGATCAAAGGGGACTTCAACCTACATTGTATTATCACAGACATTTTTCCTTAAAGGATCCAGGCTGACGCTTTGCTGTTGTGAGAGCAATACCTGTTCTCTTCAGGGCTCCTCTGCTCTGCATTCTGAAGCTCTGGTATAAGTTCAACCACTTGGCTACTTAATTGGCAAAATTTTTCTATGTGCTGTGCAAAAATGTTACGATCTTAGTACACTTTTCACTGGAGAGATGCAAGGGCACACAGGAAGACAGAAGCGGAGAGGCCTTCGCAATGAAGCCAGTCGAGTTCTGGTCAGTCTCTCTCTTTTCCTCCCATGCTCCAAAGCCAGTTGCCTGGGCTCTTGACCAATCCTGGGGAGAAGGGATGACCCCAGCACAGCCAACACAACAGGTCGGGAGGATCCTCAAGTTGCGCCACATTGCACAGCTCCAGGGGGCGCCATGCCCACGGACCACAGTAGAGGTGCATCTGCAGGGCCGCACGTGGCTGCCCTGCACAAGGGTAAAACGTGCTCAGCTCTGGGACCCTGGAACCTGGGTCATGGTAGGAGCTAAACCAACATCTGTGGCCAAACAAATGAATACAAAGGGAAGGGGGAGAAACAACCTGGTTATGGGTAACTAGAGTCCTAAAGTTGTGTGATTTAAAACCGAGCTTCCCCTCACACATCCAGTTATGCTGACTATCACGAAAGTGCAATTTGGGCCTCCAGAGAGGAGTTTAGAAGCTCTTGGGCTATACCTTTTATCTCCAGCCATGCTATTTTCTTTATCCTCTCTCCTGTCATGGATCAGAGGGGACCCTCTTTAAGTCTGGATTTATGCATTCATGCTGGGGGTGTCGATTAGTCACCGGCACACTCACACACACTCCTTCACCCCAGATTGAATGTGGCCCTCCTGGCACTGGAGGAAGGAGCTGGCAGAGGCACAAGAGGTAATGGCAGGATGAGGGGCTGAACACCTGCCAGGGACACACTCCTCCGTGCACTCCCAGCCTTAAATGTAATGCATATTTCTTGAAACCAGTCTGAACTGATATAGGGCTCTGGTGACACTCAGACTGGGCACGGTGGTGCCCAGCCAGCAGATGCTCCTGCCCCTGGGCCCCCCGCTATGACCAGGACCCTATGGTCATTCCTTAAAGTCTCCATAACAATGTAGGTGGCAGAGGGTCATAAGGCCACTCATGGGCTAAGAAATATCAGGTAAAGGGGGCTCCATACCACTCCATCTTAGGGACCGAGAGGGGACAGAGATGAGACGGACTCCCAGGGATGGTTCATGGGAATGAAGCCAGGGTGACACTTTAGGCTGAACTGGCTGTACAGAAAGGCTGCCTGGGCACAACATGCTGGCCACAGAGGGGTTTGCTTCCCAAGCAAAACCCACCTCCAGGCACAGCCTGGGAGGCTGTTCTGAGCACCACTCTGATGAAGAGCTTTAGAAATCAAGGCTTATGTTACAAATACTTGACTAGGAATTCAAGTGAAGCTCTGAGCTGTGTTTAGAATAATGCCTCAGCGTAAAGAAAGAACTCTGGTGTCATAACCTGAAATCAGATACTCAACCTTATCTGGTTTAAAATAGGCATATGGCTGCCTGGACAGGCATCGATACACACAGTTATTTGGCATCTACACGTCCTCCCAGGACTTTATGGTGTGGGTGAGTCTCACTGGGACATCTTTGCTCATAGGTCTTCCAGCTTAGAATACTCTCCCTCCCTCCTGCTTGTCTGTCAGTCTCTCGTGTATTCTTCAAAGTCCAGCTTATCATTTGCCTACTCTGGCTTACATTCATTTCTCCCTTTTTAAAACACTTCCAAAACAGTTCTTAGAGTTTACACTCATTTATATTCATTTAATGACTTAATAGTTTCTTGTGTTTTTTCCTCAAGGACCTACAAGGCTGTTGTAGGCAAAGATCATGTATCTTGACTTTCTTGCGTCCCTCAGCAGACTCTTGAGGGAGCATAGGTGTGTAATAAACATCATTTGATTGATGTATGGGACTGATATCATCTTGAACTCCAAATAAATAACATAAATTTTGCACATTACCACTAGAGCGGACAGTGCTTTCCCCACAGTAAATGCTCTGCCTTTTTAAAGTTAAAAAACATTTAAAAAATTAATAAAACCACTATTTTTGAAAAAAAAAATGCCATTGGAAGATGGGAATTAACCTAGTATATAAAAGAGAAACTGGTGGCCAAGAAAAAACACTGGGATTTCCATCTTACCCCTTGAGAAGTCACCAGTTTGCTAAGACCACGAAGGGGTCTTAGATAAGTTGTGTTTTCCATGGGTCTGTGTTTCTACATCTTTTTTTTTTTCTTTTCTTTTTTTTTTTTTTGTGAGGAGATCAGCCCTGTGCTAACATCTGCCAATCCTCCTCTTTTTTTCTTTTTGCTGAGGAAGACTGGCCCTGGGCTAACATCCATGCCCATCTTCCTCCACTTTATATGGGACGCCGCCACAACGTGGCTTGCCAAGCAGTGCGTCAGTGCGCGCCCGGGATCCGAACCGGCGAACCCCGGGCCGCCACAGCGGAGCGCGCGCACTTAACCACTTGCACCACCGGTCCGGCCCCTGTGTTTCTACATCTAATGCAATGAAAGCCTGAGTAAATCACGAGTTCCCACATTTTTCATGACCAAGGACACTTTCTTTTACAATGCACTCCCTTTCCTTCCTCTCACAATGGACCCCATGTTTTGAAAGTTTTATTTTTTCCTTCTACTGTACAGTAACTATTAACACATTAATACATTTTCCCTCATCTTTATTAGTCATAGACCAGTAGAAACAATCAGATGTTCTCATTAGCATCAGGTGACCAGACTAATTATGCACACATGGAGTTGACAGAATTCCCTCCAAAAGGAAAAGCATGTTTTAATTAGCTTTTATAGTTATGTCTCCAGCTATCGAATGACATTTAGTTTGGCTTTTTGAAATTCTGAAATGAGCCCACTGACCCCTCTTTCTTCTATTTAGCCTGTGAAGTATTCAGGAGCCCAGGCTGGGAAGCTTCGAAAGAGAGGGTCTCCGAGCTGCCTTTCCACTCTGAAGCTGCCTGGTTCCATGGTTTTAGTTAATAGGTGGTGTCATCAAATGGATTTGATGACACCACCTATTAACTAAAGACCATTTACTTATTTTTGGAGACATGTTTCTAACGACTTGAACAACGTTATCTGGTGTTGGCAGGTGCTGATACAGTGATAACAAAGCTGTGTATAAAGTTTGTCCTTCTCCATTTCAACCTTAGCCAGGTTAGCTGGAACTTGAATTTGAACCGTAACATTTTATTGAGAAAAGGAGGCAGAAAGAGAGACTGATTATGCAAATATCTTCATTCACACTCTGCACACAGCTCAAACCTTTGAGAGATTTACCTGAGGTTTTCTGAACTGAATTCGGACTCCAGGAACCGTAGAAACTGGTCCCTCCCCACCTGGTCCTTCAATATCTCGTCGAAAGAGAAGCCCCATCTCTTTACCCGTTGCTGGCTGGGCTCTTTGCTTGTAGGGGGAACAAAGGTTTAAAAAATGATCAATACCAATGTCGTACGCTCTTCAACAATTTAAATCTATTTCGCTGCCACACACCAAAGAGATATGTCTCCTGTTGAAGTGACAGATTCTATAAAAACTGCACAAACTCCAAATGTGGACTTTTGTACACCAACACTAGCCAACAGTAAAAAGTCTCTTTAAAGAAGGCATTTGAAAGGGGTAACGCTTAAGTGAGGGCCACCAGGACGCCCACCAAGTGCCTGCTGCCTACAGGAAATACAACCACCTCCTTGATTTAGCTTCCCTGGGCCATTCCCATCAGTTATAGGCCCAACTCTTGAGTCCATCATTTTTTCACTTTTTTTTTAGTCACTGAGATTCCTCGTGACTCCAACCTTTCATTAAAGACATTGTCCCTATCTCCCACCACTTCTTCAATCCACAGGGAAGAATCAGAGTCCTATTGGGATCCAAGTGACACACAACTGGTCCAAAATGAATCAAGGTCAGCCCCAGTGGCCTAGTGGTTAAGTTTCGTGCATTCCGCTTCAGCGGCCCGGGTTTGGTTCCCGGGCGCAGACCTACACCACTTGTCGGCCATGCTGTGGTGGCAGCTCACATACAAGATAGAGGAAGACTGGCCACAGATGTTAGCTCAGGGCAAATCTTCCTCAGCAAAAAAGAGGAAGATTGGCAACAGATGTTAGCTCAGGGCCAATCTTTCTCAGGAAAAAAAAAAAAGAATCAACTCATCCAGGATAAACCTGAACAACTATTCACTTGTTTAGAAGCAGAATGTTGCATTCATTTTTTGATTTAACAACCACCTGCACAGTGTTTATGATATTCTAGGCATCGTTCCAAGTTAACTCACTGAGTCCTCACAACTACTTTGTGAAAAATGTACTAGTATTGTCCCCATTTTACAGATAGGGAAGCTGAGGCCTAATGATATCTGCCCAAGGACACACTAGGAAGGGATGGAGTCAAGACTCAAGTCCAGACTTGACTTGCACCCCTTCACTCTGTTGCCTCCCATCTGTGTCCTCTCCTCAGATCAAAGGAGGGGGTTGGTCTTATTTTTTTGGTGTTGGAAGCATGAGATATTTCCTTGAGCTTCTGTCTTTCCATTTGCAGTTCACTTGCTGTATTTATTCCCCAGACCCTTCAAGCAGCAACAGAGTCCTAGTTCACAAGCCATGTGTTGTAATCTCCCACTCAAGAAGTGGTCTAGGCCCAGTGGTGGGATCTCAGGCCCCATCTCAGACGTATAGAATCAAAACCCACAGCTTAACAAGATCTCCAGGAGATTTAACTGTACATTACACTTTGAGAAGCATTAGTCTAGCAATACTTACTTGCCCTCTTTTTAAAAATAGGTACATACTTTTTATTATCTCTAACAGACATTAGGTGAATAAAATCGTGTTTCCTCTTATTATGGAGTTGACATATTCTCAATATTTATCTTAGAAAATTACACTTAGTAAAAAGGGGAAGAGAGCATATGTGTTGAAAGGTTTGGAAAAACAAATAGCTCTAGACCAGTGCTACCCAAGAGAACTTTCTGCAGTGATGGAAGTATTCTATATCTGTGTTCTCCAATATGGTAGCCACTAGCCTCTTGTGGCTATTAAGCACTTGGAAGGTCGTACTGAGGAACTGAATTTTAAATTTTATTTAATTTTAAATAATTAAAGTTTAAATTTAAGAGGCCACATGTGATTAGTGGCTACTACACTGGAAAGCATAGCTCTGGACTTTAGTGATTCAAACCCAACCCTTCTATTTCTGCACCGCTACACGTAATCAGCAGCAGCAGGATCTTCTAATTCTGAGATTATGTACTTGGGGTTCTGGAAGCTCTTGTGCACAATTGTGCGTTTCCAGGCTGAGCCCAGTAGGGTCAGGGTGGAAGACCAAGCCCATCAGGTCAAACAGGGAGAATTCCATGAACGATTTCTTCCAAAGTTCCAGGTTTGGCCTTTTACAATAAGAAAAGAAGACAGATCCTGGATTGTCTCAAACAGAAGCCACAGAACCAATCAAACTCAATAGCTTTCCAGGGGAAAAAAGTACTATTTACGGAGAAATCCCCCTGGAGTTGAGGAGCAGCCAAATGTAAGCCCCAGAGAGCTGCAGGTTATCATCTCTTTCTGCCATGATCATGCTGTGACCTGCAATGGGCTCAACCATCTGCTCTTTGCCATCCAAGGTTGCAGGGCTCTGCAGGGATGGTGCTGCATCCTGATCAAAGGCTGTGCCCAGAGAGCCAGGTGTGGAAAGTTGCTCAGTCTTTGTGGTGACTGCATCATGGATGCATACCCACGACCACTGTTACCACTTTCTGGTACCAAGTGGTGAGTCCACATTCATCCCACTGGGTTCCTTGGTGATGTCAGGGGTGGGAGAAGGGCCATTTTTGGGGTAGGCCAGACAGCTTGGAGTGTCATATTAGATGCAGAATCAGAGGCCTAGGACAGAGGTTGGGACATCCAGAAAGCGGCAAGGTCAGCCTTCAGCAGAAACAAGGAGGTCCGGAGAGACAGGATACCCTGGGGTAGCAGCTTCATAGGATGGCCATAACAAATTACCAACAATGGGTGACTTAAAATAGCAGAAATTTATTGTCTCCCAGTTCTGGAGGCTAGAAATCTGAAATCAAGGTGTTGGCAGGGCCACGCTCTCTCTAAAGGCTCTAGGGGAGAAACCGTTCCATGCCTCTCTCTTAGCTTCCGATGTTGCCAGCAATACCTGGCATCCCTTGGCTTGCAGCTGCATCACTCCAATCTCTGCCTCCGTCGTCACACGGCCTTCTCCCTGGGTGTCTGTCTTCACATGGCATTCACTCTGTGTGTGCCTGTGTCTCTGTTCTCATAAAGATACCAGTCATATTGGATTAGGAGCCCACCTACTCCAGTATGACCTCATCTTAGCTGATTGCATCTGCAACAGCCCTATTTCCACATAAAATCACATTCTGAGGTTCTGGGAAGGATATGAATTTTTGGGTGACACTATTTAATCTAGTATATCTGGGTTCCCTCAACTACTCACTATTCACAATCTTATTTATACACCTGGATGCTCCACATCTGCTCCTTTTTTTCTACATTTGGTCATTGGGATCTATTCTATTAAGAGCTTCTTGGATACAACTTCTCTATATGTGTGCTTCCTGCATCACTTGGGTATTTTCCAAGCATTATCTCCTTTAAGGTTCAAGATCAGATTTGAACATGTTTCTACCACTGAATGGTCTCTGTGGTTATAAAATATTTCTGAAAATTAAAATATCTCTGGGTATTCATCCCCAGGTGACTGGTACAATAACTTTCCCTTGGCCCAACTCAAACAAATAATCCACAGAACTCACAGCCCCCTTATTTCCATTCATTGTGTAGAAATGCTTCCTTATAACATATTTTTATTATAGTTTGGATCATCATTTAGCTTTTTAAGGGTTTGTGTCATTGTCTCTCCAGCTATCTTGGGAGTTCTTTGACGGCAAAGACCATGTCTCATGCATTTTTGTATTCACCATAGTGCTTTTCACACAGCAAGTGTTCAACATCAGGAGGAAATCAATAAGAAAATGCGTATAGTGATGTGGGTGATGTGTCCTTATCCCGACAGCATTTTCTAATCGCTACTGGATGCCTTTTCTAACTCTTATTTGTGTTCTACGCCCATTGATTCTCACAAAATTCCTTCCTCCCACTGGGCAGCCCAAACCAACACATAGCAAAGAATGGTGGTGCTCCAAGAAAGTCCATCTTTCATTCCAGCTCATCTCTCAACTAAAGAGCATGGAGGAAATCTCCCAAAGTGAGAACAAGAAAGCCAGATTCAGAGGAAGCGTCATCTATAAAAACACTCGTTTCTGCAGGGTCTATGTAGTGCTAGGCATGGTGCAAGGAGCTTTCCTTACAGTGGTCCCTTTGAATCTCAGTATAAGCAAGGAAGGTGGATATTTGTAGTCATGCATCACTTATCGACAAGGATGTGTTCTGAGAAATACGTCTTCAGGCCATTTGGTCATTGTGCAAACAGCATAGAGTATACTGAAGTGGAACAAAATTTGCCATCCCAAAATGTGTCTCTTTAACATGGGGATTATTTTAGGCTGATTATTTTTAAGAAATAAAAGACTCAGAAAGTTTTTCTTGTTATCTCCCCCTTAACTGCCTAAAAGAATTCAAATAAAAAAACCTGTCTTGGGAAGTGAGCTATCACCTTAGCATAACATGAACTAGGTGGTAGGCAGGGAGGAACCTAGGAAAGCCTGTTTGTTGGGATCCCCTCTGTGTGCTTCTGTTTCTGTGTGGCCAAACAAACACTTGTTTTCCAAATGTTTGCTCCTTTTCACCTGCCTCTTAATTGCCTTCCTTCCCTTTGAAGTCCCTGACTCTCCCCACCCCCAACATCTTCTTTTGTCTTTAGCTGAGGATGGCATTTAAGGTGGGGGCTTAGGCCATTTTGGCCAGTTATTCAGTTTTCCTGGATTTCTTCCATGTATACATGTTATTAAACTTTAATTTGTTTTTCTCCTCTTAATCTGTCTCATGTCAATTTAATTCTTAGACCAGCCAGAAGAACCTAGAAGGGTAGAGAAAAATGTCTTCCACCCCTACAGTACTTACACAAACCTAGATGGTATAGCCTACTACATACCTAGGCTATATGGTACTAATCTTATGGGACCACAATTGTATATGCAGTTCTGTGTTGACTGAAATGCTGTTATGCAGCACATGACTGTATTTAAATTTCCAGAGCTCAAAAGAGGTCAGATTGCCCAAAGCCACACAGCTAGTAAGTGGCAGTCTGGAATTATAACCTGGGTCTTCCTGTCTCTAAAGCTTTTTGTGTTTTTTTCCTTCCACTACCTTGCCTTCCATTACATTTCCTTCATTTGATGTCTAAACTAAGATTTTGAGGGAGATGTAAGCTATCTTCAAAAGATTTTTGAGTTATTAGCAAAATTATAAAACAAGGGACAGTTC